ATCTTAGCTCAAGCTCTTTGGGTTCTTTAAAAGAAGATTTTTTAACTTTTTACTATATGCATATTGGGAAAATCAATGACCCCCGGGGCGGGGCCAATTTTGACCACAGGGCTTTTATTTGAACAAACTTGGTAGACACTCACTAGAAGATGTTTCATGCCAAATATCTAAGCTCTAGCTCTTATGGTTTTTTAAAAGAAGATATTTAAAGTTTTTTTCTTTCGGTTGCCATGGCAACCAGAGTTCTGCATGGAATTAAATTCTTTGAAAATTTTTTAAAGGTGACCACCAAAGGAACATTCCTGTGAAGTTTGGATGAAATTGGCTTAGTGGTTTATGAGGAGATGTCATTTAAAGAAAAAGTTTACGGACGCCGGACGGACGGACGCCGGACGAAAAGCGATCACAAAAGCTCACCCTGTCACTTTGACAGGTGAGCTAAAAAGGGAAATGATTATTTTTGTCTAATTCAAAACATGATCAAGTAATAAAGAGCAATACAACGCAAAATACGCCCATGTAAGACAGAGGTCAAATTTCAAACTATAACCCTGTGACCAATATTCAATGCATTTTGACCCTCCCACCAACATTTTGATACCCATTGACATAGTTATTGACCCTGAGCTGACAAGGAAGATTTTACATGACTTTGATCGTTAAAGGGAAATTATTCTTGACTTCCAGGACCAAATTTGCTGGTTATCAAACTTAGTCTTTATTTTGTTGTAATTCACACTGTGAATAAGTTTTATTAATGTATGTCTTAAATTATCAACAAAGCTTATTATACATTTTTTTTATAAAAAAAGGAGAATAACTCTAGACTTTAAGGGAGGAACTTTGCTGGCTATCGAACTTGGTCTTCATTTTGACCCAACACATATTTTGACTAAGTTTCATCAATGTATGTCAAAGATAACTCAAATTGTTGAGCAGACAAGGAAAATTTTACATAACTTTGATCATTAAAGGGCAATAACTCTTGACTTCCAGGACCAATTAGGTTGTTATTGTACTTGGTTTTCCAGGTCAACCAGTGACGTCATTATCCCGATTCTGCAAATGGATAGGCAGTCAGTAAATTTGCATAATAATGTAAGCACTGGTGACCAGTTGTTACATAGAATGAACAATACTATATTGCAATTATATCGTTAGTGTATAAAGATGCTTTTTTTTATTTCAGCCCTTTCAATCTGCAATTCAGACACCACAATAGGAGAGATTCTTAGGGCCATGTTAGCTTACTGCAATAAGTTTTGACAATCAATAGCTTGTCAATGAAAAAGGACAAAATGAAAAATCATAAATGTAAGTGAAATTATTTGAATACTTGAAAACACTAACAGTCAATGAAAAAGGACAAACATCGACATTCATAAATATAAGTGAAATTACTTAAAAACTGGAATACTATCATTTAAAATCAGGGAAAATACCTGAAAAAAATCAATGTGGGTGACTAATGCATCACACCAATAGATTTTAAATGCAATGAATGATTGTATGATTTAACATGGAAAAACATATTTTTACTTCATTTCTCATTTACAGCAACTGAGAATACACAAATGCAAATGGAAACTAGAAAGGTTTTTGTCACAAAAACATATGTCTCCCAAACCTATGTATATTGTAAGGTCACTCATGTGAAGTTTCATTGAAATCCCACCAGTAGCTTGACTTGTGAAAGCTGGACAAGATTTTTGTACTTATAGCTCTGGCGGCCATTTTTGTGCTGCGGAGGAGAACGCGCCGATGATGTGCACAGCTTTGGATGGTACTGATCACTTCTGTAAAGTTTGGTTGAAATCCAACCAGTAGTTTGACCTGTCAAGGCCAGACAAGAACTTTCTATTTTTAGCTCTGGTGGCCATTTTGTGCAGTGAAGCGGAACATGCCAGTGAAGTGCACAGCTTGGGATGGTACTGATCATTTCTGTAAAATTTGATTGAAATCCAACCAGTAGTTTGAACTGTGAAGGCCAGGCAAAATTTTTCTATTTTTAGCTCTGGCAGCCATTTTGTGCAGCGAAGCGGTACGTGCAGGTGAGGTGCACAACTAGAGATGGTACTGATCACTCCTGTATAGTCTGTGTGGCCTGTCTGTACCTGTGAAGGCCGGACAAGAATATTCTATTTTTAGCTGGTGGCCATTTAGTGCAGCGAAGCAGAACATGCCGTTAAAGTTTGGTTTAAATCCACCAGTAGTTTGACCTGTGAAGGGCAGACAAGCTTAATGCGGACAGATGGACAACCAGACGGACGTTCTCACAGAACAGTAATTATGTGACTTCTCTTTTGTTCTCTCTATTGTTCTTTTTAGCCTAACAAAAGAAAAAAGCCACATAAAAGCATTACGGAAAGAATGACATCAAAGAGAAAGAACAGTTACATATTGTCCCTCTAGCCACATAATAACTGTACTGTGAGTGTGGAAGGAGTCAGATGGATGGATAGGCGGCAAAAATTTTGGGAGACATAATTATTAAATGGCATCAAGTAGCAATTCTTCACATTAGCTATGGGTTATTTACACTGTCTCAAAAGAAGGAGGATTAAATTGATGAAACTGGCATTCTTTTATCTTTTGTCATTAATATTGGTCACACGAGCACATACTTAATTGACGATTAATGGCCACATGCAAACATATATCATTCCTGTTTGGGCAGTGAACTTGGCCCTTACTTTGTCCAGATAACCAAAATTCTTCTTGTCTTAATCTCCAGTCACTTTGGTTGCATGTTAGAGAGGATTCAGTATACACAATCATATTGAGACTAAAGGATGCCCTATATGGCGTCACACTTGTGTAGTTTAATTCAAGAGGATCACACAGGAAGGCCCCTCTAAGTAGTCAAGTACAAGAAAGTGTGTCCCAAAGTGAAACAAATTCAATACTTAATATGTGTTTGACTATACATGTAAGAAAAAAAGTCCCAAAGTGAAACAAATTCAATACTTAATATGTGTTTGACTATACATGTAAGAAAAAAAAAGCCCAAATGGCACTGTTTAGAGGCGCTGAATGCTTTAAGGTATTCAGTGGTTCATTTTTGAGAAAGAATATAAGATTTATTTTAATTATATTTATGAATATGTGCAACATTTTCTTCTTTCAGAAAATATAGTTATTGTATTTTTGCAGTGTAATTTTTTATGAAGTAATATTACTAATAATTTTTTAAGTTATTTATATTCATGTTATTAACAATGTATGAAACATTAAATTCATCATGATAATGAATATTGTATTTAGAAGGAATAAAAAAAGAACAAATTTATCTTTGATGTGCTTTTTGTTTTCTAACTGTCTTGATGCATTGTTTCATTATGAATTAATATATTAAACACACCGAATGACAGTTCAATCAGAACTGGTTTTAAATTGCAAAACTATCAACTGTAAACAACGCAAAGAAAACACTATGGGAGTAATTACTATAAATATATACCTAAAAACAAGGAAAAGGCAATTTCAGTCATCTTAATCCCTAGTATATAAATTTCTGATCATCCTTGGGGAGCTCCCCATCCCCCTACTTCTACTTCTGCTGCTTTGTTCTGTACCAACAAGGGGCCCAGTGTGACTCCCTGAATCCCAAAGCTATCTATCTGTTTTTTTTCCCATTACAAACTTTTTAACCATGCACTCTTAGAGCATAGGGCTCTCAGGTAAGACTTCTATTTTTAAAACCCTAGTGAGAGCCTAGATGTGTATGATGATAAGAAATAAACTGGTAATAAAGAGGATGAAGTGAAAACATAAAACTTAAATCAGAAATCTGAATGATGGTACCAACACCAGTGTAACTAAGAAAACTGAGCCGCGTTACGACAAATTTACCAACATAGTGCGTTTGCGACCAGCTTGGATCCAGACCAGCCTGTGCATCCGCACTGTCTGATCAGGATCCATGCTGTTCGCTTACCAACCCTATTACAAGTAGAGAAACTGATAGAGAACAGCATGGATCCTGATCAGACTGCGCGGATGCGCAAGCTGGTCTGGATCCATGCTGGTCGCAAACGCACTATGTTGGTTTTGTCGTGACGCAGCTCAAATTAACTATGTATAGCAGAAATGAAAACGAGCATTAACACAGTGTATAAATGAGCCTACTTCCTGTTATCACAAGAAAGGTACACATTGAAATATATAGGATACCAATAAAGGTACAGTGATTGGAAGTAACATGTGCTTGTAATAGCAAGACAGGGTACACATTGAATAATATAGGCTCGCAAGACAGGGTACACATTGAATAATATAGGCTCGCAAGACAGGGTACCTTGATTTTGTTGACATGCTGTGATTAGTAATTTCAAAAGCCATGACAGAGTCTTAAAAACTTTTTCCTAGAAGAGTTGGTGAATGTATATTAAGAAAGATTTCAAGTTTCAAAGCATTTTATCTCAAGTCTGTGAAGTGAAAAAAAACAAAAACAAAACACAAAAAAAAACATTAGTGTAAATGGAATTATGGCATGATTTATATAACTTTTGTAGAGGCTACATTCCAAATATCTAAGCTCCGGGCATTGTAGTTTATGAGAAGATTGTTAATTTCTTAAGTCTATTTTTAGCTCCTATCACCTACTTACAATGTATGTATCAGACTGAAATTGTTTATATAACTTTTATAAAGGACCACCTAAGGATCATTCCTGTAAAGTTTGGTCAATACCTATCAAGTGGTTTAGGAGATGTTGTTTAAAGTGGACAACAAGGTACTATGGTCTATGAATAACTGACACACTGCAATCAATAAAGCTCACCTCTGAGCGCTTTGTACTCAGGCGAGCTATAATAAATACAATTAAATACATGAGTCCAGCTAAATAAAATACATAATAGACATCATATGTCATACCCTAACTTACTAACTTAAATAACTGTACTCTCCTTTCTAAAAGGAATAATTTCAATTTTCAATTATTTACAAACTTGTAGCTAAAAAGCATTCAGTGCTGAATCTAGAAATTCTAGATGCAACACTGAGCATTCCTACAAGACATCCATGTACATAATATACTTTCTTTCCCTATCCTATCATTTACACAGTAAACACCAATTCTTAATCTTATTAAAATTCTTTTTCATGCTTTTTACCAGGTTGGCTATGTGTTTTCAGTCTGCAAGGAAATATAGCTCTTCATTTTCATAGGAAGTGGAAGTGACATCACAGAATTCATAATGCTTTTCCCACAATGCATCTGCATCAAGTGTTTCCTGATAACAAGTCTGCAATGATGCTGTAGTGACCTTGGTTCACTAACATAGTGCTCTAACAGGTTCTTTAACTTGCTGTTTTTCATCACCTATAATTAAAATAATGATTTACATTATCTTGGTACATGTATTCTTCACGAAAGAAACAGTAATTGCCATATATATCATCTATATAGTGACTTAGTCTGCTGATATTTGTTTTGCCTGTAAGATTGAAATACATTTCACAGAGTCTGCACCAGATGTAATATTTTCACAAGTGGCATAGTCACAAGTAAAAATATAAGTGCTGGTGAAAGGGGCATAGTCACAAGTAAAAATATAAGTGCTGGTGTTCAGGAGTGAAATATTATTTAATCTTACATACAAAACAAACACAAATTTTCTATTTATTTCATGATTGTTGGACGTTTTTATGTCATTTTTACATTTATTTTTGCTGTGAAATAACATAAATCTGCTCTCATTCATGACATCATCAAATCATGACTTTGTTTTTGTTGAAATGTACGGATGCAACTCATAAAATCAGCAGTTTAAATGACTAAATGGGATACCTTACTTACCAGTTTAAGTTTCAAGCTTTAATTGAGCCATATGCTAACATTTTACACATGCATAATTTTTTCCACAAGTATATTATATATAATTTATGTGTGATAGTATAGTTACTCTTTAACTCAATACATAATCATCAGAAATATTACCTTTATATTTTTTGGATAAGTTGCGAGGTTAGACTTTGTCAATTTGGCTCCAGCTTCTAAAAGCATCTTCAAACTTCTCTCCCGACAGTTGAAAATTGCCCAATACAATGCATGGGTATCTCTGAATATCAAAAATACAACAAGATTCAGTACACTCTACATGCATACTTAAGAAAAATGACTGTTAGTGTGATAATTCATCATTATCCAAATGAGCCGCGTCCTGACAAAACCAACATAGTGCGTTTGTGACCAGCATGGATCCAGACCAGCCTGCCCGTCCGTGCAGTCTGATCAGGATCCATGCTGTTCGCTATCAGCTTCTTTACTAGTTATAGGGTATGTAAGCGAACAGCACGGATCCTGATCACTGCGCGGATATGCAGGCTGGTCTGGATCCATGCTGGTCGCAAACACATTACGATGGTTTTGTTGTGATGCGGCTCAAATATATTCTTTATAAATGATTAACTGCACCAGGGTTTCCATTAAGTTTAAACATTTGGCAGTTAGAGACATTAATTAATATGGGCAGACTGTACTCAATAATTGTGTTTTTATATAGCCTGACGTTCATGTAGTGGTGTTATAGGCATGTAATTATTTTACTAAAGTTCATTTTAAAGCTACATTTTTAAATAAAACCGGTCCAAACCCCATCAACATATTTGTTTACAGTTTTATGATATGCAAAGGAATAATTTGTAGTTTCAATGAGATAACTGTAACCTAACAGTTGTTATGTTTCACTTGGTAAGGTATAAACACCTCTATTTATCACACCCATTAACATGTAGCGAATAGGACAGCTTCATGCAGGTAGAAATTACTCTATAAATTTTAGTTTAAAACTGGATTACTAAGATATATTCTTCCTTTTTGTCTCATAATTCTCTGACCTATAATATCTTACCTGAAATCCGGCAGATCTGGGTTGGCCCCATACCGTATCAGCACTTCTGCATTGCTTTCAAATCCAAAGTAAACACTTGCCGAGAGGGCCGTCTCACCAAACCTTGCATCCTGAGCATTCAGTAGAGCTCCATTCTCCACCAATAAACTACACACAGCTGCTGTGCTATTTCTAGACGCCAATATCAGACACGTATTACCATCTTCATTTAACATATCTAAATCAAAATTAAACTGTAAAACGTATTCTAACACTTCTTGTCCCTTCTGTCTCGCCATGACAGCCGCATGTAGCAAACTTCCGTGCCAACAGTGAAGGTACGGATCTGCGCCATTTTTAACTAAATATCTCACTATATCTAGGTTACCACCTAGCACTGCCATATAAAGAGCTGTAGATTTGTCTAAGGCTTGAGTGTTTATAAAGTCTTGTTGCTCCTGTTTCTCCAAATCTACAGCCCTTTCAGAACAACTCAATCCAGGTCTCTGATTTCTTTTCTTTCTATTCAATCCTTCTTCTGGCTGCATATCCTTGGTTAGCTCTTCTAATTTATTCTCAACCAAATACGAGGTTTTGATAAGCAGTTTTAAAATATCAAAATGATTCTGCGAGCCTAGAAACGCAGCGATGTGAAGTGGAGGAAAGTGTCGCTGAAATACATTGATAATGCTACCTTTTGTCATACTACAGCCTGCTGTAATAAGAGTTTCAGCAATATCTTTGTTTTCATCACAATTATGTAAAGCCAGGCCTAGTGGTGTATGACCACGGCCATTTCTCTTGTTCAAATTTGCCCCGTTCTGAATCAATAGTTTCAACATATCACAATTACCCTGCAAAATTGCAAAATGTATGGCAGAGTTTGTACATTCACCATAACACTGGTTTACATCTTCACCATGCTCCAGTAAAATCGAGGCTAAATACATATTATTCGTTTCCACGGCATGGATGAGGGGAGGACTTGTTATAAACACTTCATTACATCCCCTCATCTGCATAACCTGCTGAACATCTGCTCCATTCTGTAACAAAACTTTGGACACGTTCACTGACTTATTCATTGAAAGTTGTAAAGGTGTCAGTCTCTGGCAGCAAGGCTCATTCACTTTAGCCCCATACGACAACAAGAGCCTGAGAATAGTTTCATCATTAAGTATTATTGCTATAGCAACAGCATTCATTTTATTAACTGGGGTCATTTTATTTGGGTCAGCGCCATTTTCAAGCAAAACCTTCAGAATATCTTCATCGTGGGTACTGACTGCACATAATAATGGCGTTTCTTCGCCTTGAACACAATTCGCACTTGTCCCAAGCTTTAGTAAGTGTCGAAGAAGTTTCAAACTTTTTATCCTAGTCTTTTTAACAAGACAGTCTTCCGACAGCCAAACTTTAGACAGACCTATTCCATGGTGCTGTGAATAGTCAGTCAGAAATCTATGATAAAGCTTCATCAGAAAATACACAGCCAAGTTGTCATGGTCAAAGAAGTTTTCTGAACTATACACAATATCTTCTGCTCGACCAAGTTTACCATCTGATAGAGATTTACACAGTTCACACACTGGAGTTACATCAACTTGAACAGCCATTTTACAGTCTCACATCAAATCTCTTGCAGAGAAGTTAATGCTGAAAAGATATGAAAACACAGAATTTATAAGTAGGGATACATACTGCAGGCCCTTTCTTCACTATATAATAAGGGTCAAGATATAATGACCTCTTCACAATTCAAGACAGGCCCCTTTACAATTCTGATAAGACCCCCAATGCCAGCTTAACAATTGGAAAAAATGCCATTTTCAAAATAAAAATTGTTTTATAATATTGCTGCTGCAAAACAGTATTACAACAAATTCAAAATATATTTAACTATACCACATTTAAATACACTAAAAAATTGTAAGTTAGAAATGACTTTAAGAAATCAGAGTTATTTAAAATTGCTTTTAAAATATCTCAACTTAATGTTTTGTGTTTATAAAATAAAATAATAAAAGATAACATTTTAAAATTTGTGCCAGGATTGTGCTTCTTCTTCCAGTTTTATGGAAAATAACATTAAATCTAATTCTTCACATATTTGTTCTGATATATATTTCTATTACTAAATGAATCTGTTACGTCTATTTTTTTTTTTCAGCAATAATTTCACCTATTTCATGGCTAACCACTGAGATGCTCTGATAGCTGGCATATTCCCATTATATAATAATATGGTATATAATGATTCCTTCCAAATAATTTCCTTTGGTTATATTGTAATTCTTATTTGTGAAAATATAATAAACCTGGCATATAATGATGATTAATATCTTACATAACAAAACAAGAGCCGGTCAAATTGGGTGATGCTCCACAAATAGGTTTTGTACACAGGGAAGAAGTCTGTTATATAAAGTGTTTACCAAATTCAGAATAAAGATATAATGTTGATATCGCAATACACTAACAATATTTCCCAGGAAATAAAGACAAACATATTTTTTGAAAGACTGAAGAAAGGAAAATAGCTCAGATGAAAATAATGAATGAGAACGACTATTATCATATCGTTGTCAACTCGTTTCCGGTTAAGGGTAGACCAAGTCCACAGTAATATACAAATGTAGCCAAGTTTAATTAATTTCATATCAACTGGCTGATGTTCTTTGAACTTGTTTATGAAAAGATAATTAGAGATCTATACGTTTTCAAGGAAATACAACTTACAAACATGAATTTGTAGATTTAGTTGATTAAAATAGTGACGATGACAATACGACCATGTGATATTCATCACATATTTATTCTTTCATTATCGCTGACATAATTTTCCCGTAAAAAAAACAAAAACATTTTGAATGCAAAATATTTAGAAGGGGAAACTATGGTTGCTGTTAATCGTCCCTCGTCATATAATTCAAGAGTTAAATGGGAACATTGTGCTTTTTTCTGAAAACTAACAAAGATGACGATGTATTGGAATATCGGATGTGGAGTGTTTCCAAAATTTGCAAACTCAAAATAAAATATGAGAAAACTGAGAGTGAAACTGATAAACTGTTAAGTGTTATTTTCACAGTTGTTGACTTAATTATATATATAAATTAAACACATGTTATAATGTTATTTATTTACAAGAAAAATCTCTAGTGGTGCATTGTACGACTGAAATTGTTAATCTGTCATATTTACAGCTATGGAATAGTAGATACTTGCTGTTATGGTATATTTAAAAATACCTTTTTAATTCTTAAGTTATCTGTCAAGTAAATTTTGAAAGATCAAAATTTGAAACCAAGTTATAGAAACATCTTTTTTTGTTATTATAAAAGTTTTATATTGTATTTGTAAATGTAATTAACACCATTTTTGGGGAAGGGGCCTCAGCCTTTTTCTTGGGGAAAATATGCATGATTTTGGCAATTACTTTGGAAAAGGGGTCTAAAATTTAACACAAACTTTTAACAAGTTCTTCAAAATAGAAATATATAGGTATATATTTTGGATATTATCATTAATATTGATAGAATTAGAAGTTCCTGTGTTCTTACTATTTCTTTGTCTTTTTAAGAGAACTGACACAAAGTGCAGTACAGACTACATTCCAATGTATTTGCACTTATTCGAGTCGTAAAATACTTGAAAAAATTACTATCATTGTGAGACTATATGTCTGACAGACCGAAATGTCTCGCTGAGCCTGTAGATAATTCAACAATTCAAACAGCTACTGTCCGAAATATACTACACTTTGTAAAGTTTTTAGCGCATAATTTAGTTATGCAATAAATTCAAAGCCCTTCACATGGGTTATAGAAGAATTGAAACATAAAGCATCACATTTGTACAATATTTATCAGAAGTACATTTACATTACGACTGCAGATAAGAAATTAATGATAAATTACCTCCAATCTCGTTTTTGACCCGACCTCCAATTCAGACTGGTGCAAACAGAAATGAGCCGTTAATAAAATAAAGAACGGAAAGAGACTTCCCCGTGACTCCCGTGCATGATTCAAGCCGACATAGATATCACAAGTTAAAATGAATACAGTATGTTTATCTTAATTAACATACTTTTAAATCTTAAGTGTTATAATCACTACTTAATTATAATTGGTCCTTCGGGATCATTGGTGCCAGCACTATTAAGTGTTGAGGATTGAGTACCGCTCAAGCCGGTGCTAGGGGGCGTGAGGGATGTTGCACGTATTCATTATCCCTCATGTACAGACTCAATCAAACCGAGTCTGCAATTCTCTTGTAATTTTGTTGTGATTAATGCTTCCGAGGGATCACTTTGTTTCCAGATTTTTATACTTCACAACCACGGATTTATATTACAAGGATCGGACACTTTCGTTTAGCTTAAAGTCCCGTCGCGCGCATGCGCGGAATCGGATAAAGGTGGACATAATGAGATGGCGGAACGTGCGAAGTACGAAATATGACAGATTTTCACCGGAGTATGTGGTGTTATTGCAGCTTTGTGAAAAATTATACACATATGAATTTATTGATACAGTATTATTTTGTGTCGCTAAAGTATTATTATATGAAAATATGCTGATAGAACGCTGCAACGCTTAGTTAAAAAGTACCTAATTTAAAAAATATTCGCCTATTGATGTTTAGGATACTCTCTACACTATGCGCCTTTTACTTCAAGCACGAATTATTACCGCGATTCAGAATAGATAATTATTTTGTACATGGTTTAATGATGGCATTGCAAAAAACGTTTCTTGATTGCCTAAAAAACTTTTAAAAGAAATATATGTTTGAAATGTGTCTTTATTTCTGTGAATTATTTCCAAATGATTTGTACATTTTTATTTGATTACCTGTATATTAGTATAAATATAGTAAATATTCTACTATTAAGTGTATTAAATATATTTTCAGATCATTCTAGACAAGCATTCCTATATAGATGAATCCATTAGAATTGGCAAGGAAGAAACTTTTATTGGCATAGAGAAACAGCTGTTTTATAATATCCATTTTTTATTTTGAAACATAATTTTTTCATAGATATCCTAAACAATTCACGTCAAATGATTTATTTATCACATGTTTATTTTCATCATTTTTCAGAGAAAGGACTATACAAA